AAAATGCTTCTAAAGAAGCGTATGACCGATTTCTTTTTTAGTTGGCTTTGTCTTAGTCCATTAGAAAAAACTGATTGACGAGGAAATTGCACTGGTTTTGAGTTGCTGTAATAAAAACAAAAAATGATAGAAACAAGAACAAACTGATTTTACTTTTTGGTTTGGTAGTTCGAGAAAATTAAAAAAAAATAATGAAAAAATTTGTAAAAATAGTTAAAAAGTTCTTTTTTAAAAAAATGATGTAATTAAAAAATTTAATGAAAAAACCAAAAAAAAATGAAATTAAAAATTTTGAATATGGCACTGCTCATTATACTACTATTCATCATTTTTGTTTGTCTAGCACAAACAAATATGATCATTGACATTGGAGGTGAAAAGACAAAATTGGGGACTTATGGGGAGGTAGTAAATAGTTTTCGGGTTATTGAATCAAAACAAGGTAAACAAGAAATCCCTTCTGTTATTGCATTAAATGATCAAGGAGACATTCAATTTGGTGAAAATGGTGAAAGGGTTATGGGAAATAAAGGATATGTATCAATAAAATACCCAATGCTTATTAATTCTATTACACAAAAATTAAATGAACAACATAAATCAAAGAGGTTTGAATGGATATTTAGAGATGGAGATGGAATAAGTGTATTGGAAGATGAGCCATTAAAAATAAAAATTGGAGGAATAACTGCGTCATACGGATTTCTTATATCAGCATATATTGATGAATTAATTGATCACATAGATATTAAAGAAGGAAATATCAAAACTGATTATCCATCTGTCTTTAGTATTCCAAGTTTTTTCAATAATAAACAACTTGATATATTGTATAACAGTATGACTGCACTTACAACTGAAGTAGATGATCAACAAGATGCTGTTGTTGGTGACGATATACCAAAAGATGATATAAAAGATATTGATGGTGAAATTCAAGAGTTACAAAATGAGGTGTCTCAATTAGATGATGATAAATTTATTCAACAAAAAAAAGAATCAAAAAAGAAAAATAATAAGAAGACAATAAAGACAAATAAAAAGAAGAATAAAAAAAGAGTTAAAGGATTAAAAAAATCTAAAGAAAATGAAGAAGAATTTCAGTTAGAAGATAATCAAGAAGAAGAATTTCAATTAGAAGATGACATTAATACTTTAAAAGATGAAGAATTAAAAGAAGATACAGATAATAACTTTGAACCAGTTGAAAATAAATTATTTAAAAGATTAAAAGAAACAACACTCTTTGCTTCTAACCATGTTATTCACGCACTTGCATATTATTCTACTGAAAATAATGAAATTATTAATCCAGCAAATAAACCTATTATTGTCATTGAATTTGGTGCATCATATTGTCGTGCAACTAAATTTATTATTAAAGGAAAGAAAACAATTAAAATTCTTCAACATGAAGTTGATTTCAATATTAATACTCGTAAATTAAATCATAATGTATTTTTAATGGTATTAAAGAAATTCGTTAATACAGAAGAAATAGTTAATAAAATTAAAAATATGGCACCACATCAACTTGCAGAATTATGGAAAAGTATTGACGAAATGAGAATTAAATTATCTGCTAATGAACAACTAATAACTGAATTTATGAATCAGAAAATTATTCTAGAACAAAATGAATTTAACTTACTTTTGAGAGAAGAGTTACACGAATTAACTCAGATGTTACTTTCTATGAAAAGTAAAGATCGAGATGATCTTGTTTACCTTACAGGTGGGTTAAGTTATACCCCAATATTAAAAGAAAAAGTAAAAGATATATTTGGTACTTATTCTTCTAAGATTGGTAGTAAACAAATGTTAGAAGGAATGAAATTGTTTGGTATGATGCATCCTATTAATGGAGCATAACATCTGCAAGTAATTTACCTTATATAGAAGATATTTTACCATTTGGATTATATATTAAAATTGATGATCAACAAATTGAGTTATTCAAAAAAAATCATCAATTTGAAGACGGGAATGAAGAAAATATTGATATTGATCCAAAAGGAGCTAAGTATATTGAATTATGTACATATCCAGTTAGTGAGAATGAATATGACTCTGATAATTGTTTTGATATGTATGAAGTTGAAGGTAAAGTACATATAAAAGTAGTTTCATTGAGTGAAGGTTTTATTGAAAGTATTGTTGCTAGTGGTGGAATTAAACGAGTAAATAAAGAGAGAGAAGACTTAATCTCATTAATAAGAAAAAGAAGAACGAACAATGAAATAGTACAAAAACAAATTATGAAAAAAGTAGAATATCAAACTTTGTTGATGACATATCGTGATAATAAAGTATGTAAAAAAGATAAAGCATTTATGGAATTTATTTATTCAGAGTTAGATTTACTTGATAATGAAAAATTATATCCTTTAGATGAAATTGAAACCAAAATAAAAGAGGCAAAACGTTTATATGATGAACTCCTTCATGGAGATCCAAATAAAGAAACAATAGATCAAGACTTAAAAGAAGATGAAGAGGAAGAAAATAAAAAAAAAGAAAAATTTATAAATGATGAGATAAAATCAAATAAAGAAGAGTTGAATCAAAAAAATATTGAAAATGAAGGAGATGATGATGATAATGAAATTGAAGAAAAACAAGAAAAAGATACTACTAAAAAAAAAAGACCAAATGACGAAGAAAAAGAAAGACTTAGAAAAATAAAAGAAGAATGGAAAAAACATTTAAATGACAAGGATAATCTAAAACAACAACAAAAAAATCCAAAGAAAGATGAAGAAGAAAAATTATTTATCACAGCTAAAGATGCTTTAAATAATCTCAAAGATAAAGTAAATAAAAAAGGTATTCAAGACAATACACTAAACGATTTGTTTAATAAAATTGAGAAAAAAATAAATGATAAAACACTAACTAACAATGAATTCTTGGAATATTTTGAAACTATAAAAAAACAACTTACGATAGATTCTACTAAACAATCATTATTATCAAGTTATTTCATAAAGTCAATAGTTGTTTTATTATGTTGTGTCTTTGTTGGAATAATTATTCTTTTCTTTATTAAGTCCAAGAGAAAATCAACTGAAGTTGAATTAGAAGATATCAGGGAACGATGAAATAAATACATTAGAAAAACATAAATTAATTCAATTATAAAAAAACAAAAAGGGTTCATTAATTTTTTTCTTTTTGTTATTTAAAGAAACGGAAAAAGTAAGGAACTTAATTTAAAAACATTGAATTATTACTTATTTAATAGAATGAACAAAAGAGAAGAAAAATTTGTGTGTTGCATTTGTAATGTTGGTTTTGGTATTCCTGAATTTCCAAAATTATTACCATGTATGCACATGATTTGTAGAGATTGTTTATTTCAAGTTATAATAGCACAAACATCAAGACAGGAATATGTTGATAAGGAAAGTGAAATATATTGTGGAATGTGTCAAAGATATGTCCATATACCATACTGTAATTTAGATGATTTACCTACAGTATTTAAACTAATTCAAAATAAAGCTGAACAAACTATTTGTTGTGAAGAAGGGTGTTGTACAAAAGGGTTTTCATATTGTTATGAGTGTAATGTTATTTACTGTGAAAGTCATTTAGAACAACATATTAAAACAAATCCAACACATAAATTTGAAGTGTTTAATGAAGGAAAATATTGTTTAAAACATCATTCAATTAAAACATATTATTGTTGTACATGTAATGAAATATTATGTCCAGAGTGTTATGTATTAGACCATTCAGGTGATGTAGTTTGTAAATATCTAAATTATTTATCAAAATTTTATACACACGATCGGTTTAATATTAGTAAGAGAGTATATAATCTTTCTCAAACAGTTCGTCGTGCAACAGAAATTTATGACTCATTCTACTTTAATCAACAACCAATGACTGATGCTCAATTAGCTATTTCTTCTACTCAAATAGAACAATTAATTTCTCAAAAAATAAATGAATTAAAAAAAGGAGGAAAGCTTTTAACTGGTGTTAGCAAGATGGTTAATGAATTAGCAAACGAATTTAGAATTCAATCTCCTATTTGTCCTTCATTCTCTACTATTAAAACAACAACAAATTTAATTCCTTTAAAAGGAACTATTGATGTTGACCTTTATTTCTATGATGTTTATGAAAAACTAACGTTAACAAGTGATATTGCTCTTACACTTGTACCAATTTCACATATTTTACCTGGTTGTACTGATTATTTAGAAGAAATAAACCATGACCTTGCTGATGAAATTTCAGGAGATGGAGGAGAAGCTTCTGCTTCTATTAAAGAAGTAGGAAAAGGAAGAATTAGGATAACAATAAAAGGAGAATCTATAGGTGATGTTTGTTTAAGAGTATATGTACATAAGGTAGAGATAAGAACTAGTCCATTAATATTTCATGTAATTGAAGTACCAAAGAAAGTATGTTGTTCGAATAAAGATAGAAATGTGTGTTGTATTAGTTCTATGTGTACATTACAATCAGGTGCATATGTAATATCAGACCGTAACAATCATAACATTAAAATTTTTGATGGAAATAATATTGCCGTTGCTGGTGGATTTGGAAAGAATAATGGACAATTTAAACTTCCTACTGGAGTTACTTCTTGTGTAGTTGATGGAAAAGAAATTATTGCAGTAACAGATATGTTAAATTGTAATGTACAACTTTTTAATACTGTAGGAAATCATATTAAAACACTTGGACGAAGTGGTCCATTATTAAATGGATGTTTACTTAAGCCAACTGCTGTTGCAATAAGTAATAATAAACAAACTGTTTATGTTGCTGATTCCAAATATAATATAATTCAAGGATTTCCAATTAATGGACAACCAAAAATTATTGTACAAAAAAAGAATATTGGAGAATTTCAAATTGCTGATCTTGATATTATTGAAACAGAATCTAAAACAGTACTTGTTATTCTTGATTCATTAAATCATAGGTTAGTCTTATTTAATGTAGACGATGAAACATATAAAGTAAAAGGTAGATATGATGATTGTGATAGAAGAGGACATTTCTCTTTTCCAAGAAGTCTTGCAATTGATCATACAAAAAATTATATTTATGTATTAGATGGTCAAAATAGAATTCAACAATTTAATTATGAATTATTCTTTATGGGAATGTATGAATATCCTTCTGAACCAATCAACAAAATTTATTACAGTTCTTCTTTAAATAAAATGTTACTTTGTTATGGAACAGACTATTTACATGAAATATCATTAGACACTATTACTTTTTATATGAACTAATTGTAACTGTTTAACTCGTTAAAATATTTGACTCTTTCTTTTTTTTAAGAAATAAGTTATAAGATAAAAGTGACTTTAAATTAAGCTTTATTTACTCCATTGAATAGCAACGATATAAGATGGTTTAAATGACTTAGACTCACATATAGGGAACCCACAACATCCATATGCTTTATCAAATGAATCAAAAAATTTTCCTTCTTTTCTTTTCAATACAAAGAAATAAGCACAGTTAAAAATATGATCTTTACTCTTCTCATTGTAAACACCAACAGTATCTCTATTACTTCCTTGGAGAAGAAACTTACGCCTTTCTCCTTTACTATTACTTAAACTAAAGATAAAATGAGAAGGATCATCTTCTAAGAAAATACAGTCTTTATCTTTCTTTGCTGGACTTCCTGGTGGTTGTGGTATCATTTTACCTGAAAAAGTACCAAATATTTCATTCTTCTTATTCCCAATTATTATCATAACATTAGCCAATCCAACTATTGACTGATTAAATTCTTTCAAGTCAAACCGTTCAAAACTATTATTAAAATAAAGGACTCGAGGTGTAACGAAGTTACACCAATTTGACATTGTTCTATAATACCCTCCTATATTTTCACAAACATTTAATTGAGATATATAATCTTCAATATCTCTTTGTGTTACTTCTATGAAATCCTCACCTGATTTAGATAATGGCAATGAACTAATATAACACGGTTCTTTTGATGAGGCATTGAGTGATTGAATTGAAGTGGATCGAGTTGTTGCAATAGAAATAGAATTCCCTCGAACCTTTTTTGTAGAATCTTCTAGTCCACAAAGAGGAGAAGAAGACCTACTTGTACGTTTTATTTCTTCAATATCATTACGTAATCCTTTTAAATTTTCTATTTCAGTTTTAAGTGAGTTTTGAGCAGTTTTTAATGAAATTATTTCTTTATCCTTCTTTTGTAATTCTTTTTCTATTTGTTGATTAAATTCATCAATTACTTTTTTCTCTAACATTTCTGAATTAGGTCTTCCTCTTGCTTCACTCGTAACTTGGTTAATCTTATTAATTGACCCTTTCATTAACTCATTATTTGCTTCAATTTGTTGTTTCATTAATTTAATAGTCTCTCTCAATTCAGCATTATCATTCTTGATTTGTTTAACTTCTCCTATATCAACAGAAAGTTCACCAACGGAAGAACATGAAGATATTCCATTGACTTTACTTTGTAATTCTAATATACTTCCTTTGTTATCAGCAATTTTTTTATTTAAGGCAACTATTGTTTGTCTCAAAACTGGAACAACTGTAGTATTAATTTTGTCAATAGTAGAAATTAATTGATTAATAGTGGATTCATGAATCGTATAGTTGTCCTGAAGTGTTAAAAGGATGTGTTTTTGTCCTTCAATCTTTTTTAATAAAACATCGTTTCCAGTAATGTCTCCATCATTTATAGCCCCTTTAACTTTTTCACTTATTTTACGAACAATTAATTCTATTTTATCTATTCTATCATTAAAATCTTTGTTTTTAGTTAAGTTGTTAACTCCTCCTTCAAGAATTTTATATGACTGACTTAGTGCATCAGTTTTTTCTTCAACACCAGTTAAAATACTCTCTTGTTGTTCGATTTTGGCTTCGTTGTCTTTTACTTTTTGTTGTAATAAACGAAGAATTTTTTCAATTTTATTAATCCTTTCTTCCATCAAGTAACACTTGATAGTTCTTTCCTTTTCATCTGTAATTTTCTCTTTTTTTAATCATGGTTTATTAATAATTTTATTAATTACAATTTCAATAACATATTTTCTATTTTATGACAAAATTGTTAAAAAATTGTTATCTAAAAATCCTACAAAATTTTTGAAAGAAGAAAAAAGAACATAGAATTTCTAGTTCTCTATTTAAAAACAAAAATTCAACTTAAAAATCATATTTTTGTTTAGACAAATGCGTGCTCTTTTATTTGTTTTATTTAGTTTATTCTTAGCTGTTTATGCTGAAGAAGATTTCGATTTAGATAATGGTGTTGAAGTCGAAGAAGAATATGAATTAGAAAACAACTACAATAATGAGTTAGAAGACGACGATAATGAATATGAATTAGAAGATGATGATGATGAATATGAATTAGAAGACGAAGATGAAGACGAAGATGAAGACGAAGATGAAGAAGACGAAGAAGATGATGATGAAGATGAAGAAGAAGATGAAGAAGATGAAGATGAAGAAGATGAAGACGATGATGATGAAGACGACGAAGAAGATGATGATGAATATGAATTAGAAGAAGACGACGAAGAAGATGAAGACGAAGAAGATGAAGACGAAGAAGATGAAGACGAAGAAGATGAAGACGAAGAAGATGAAGACGAAGAAGACGAAGACGAAGACGAAGAAGACGAAGAAGAAGATGAAGAAGAAGATGATGAAGATGAAGAAGATGAAGAAGATGAAGAAGATGAAGAAGATGAAGAAGATGAAGAAGATGAAGATGATGAAGATGATGAAGATGATGAAGATGATGAAGATGATGAAGATGATGAAGATGATGAAGATGATGAAGATGATGAAGATGATGAAGATGATGAAGATGATGAAGATGATGAAGATGATGAAGATGATGAAGATGACGAAGATGACGAAGATGACGAAGATGAAGAAGATGACGAAGAAGATGAAGACGAAGACGAAGAAGATGAAGATGAAGACGAAGATGAAGAAGATGAAGACGAAGATGATGAAGATGAAGAAGATGAAGACGAAGATGATGAAGACGAAGATGATGAAGACGAAGATGATGAAGACGAAGATGATGAAGACGAAGATGATGAAGACGAAGATGATGAAGACGAAGATGATGAAGACGAAGATGATGAAGACGAAGATGATGAAGACGAAGATGATGAAGACGAAGATGATGAAGACGAAGATGATGAAGACGAAGATGATGAAGACGAAGATGATGAAGACGAAGATGATGAAGACGAAGATGATGAAGACGAAGATGATGAAGACGAAGATGATGATGAATATGAATTAGAAGAAGATGGATTATTCTATGATGATATTTTTGGTAATGGATATGGATATTACGGTATTCCATATTATGGAATTGGCCGCTATCCCTTCAATTTCTATCACCCAATGTATGAATACTTTTAAACATTGGTAAGAAACTAAAAGAATAGTTATTCATTTATCGTTCTTTTTAAGTTTTATTATGAACAGATAAGATGAGAAAAGAGAAAATTCCAAACAATCTTTTAAAAATTTGAGAGATAAGGTGTATTGATTTAATGAATCAATCGGATATTTTATTGCAAAGAAATATTAAGAAAGTCAGACTTCATAGTAAAGAAGTGGTAATTTTAATATTATCAGAGCATACTAATTTTTAAAATCACATTAATTAAAGGAATAAAAGAATATGAGAACTAAACTTAAAATGATTTCTAAATAAAATTAATAAAATAAGTAACAGTAATCTTGTTTTATCTACTTCACTTTACTCAGGTGAGATACATCATTCACTCTCTTCATAATCTTATCCATGAGGTACTTCTATCTCTCTATATCCACCTACATGATCTCCACAGTATTTCATTTGATCTTTCATGTTTATAATTATTATATCTTTTATCATTATTTTACATGCAATTATTATGTCTTGTTCTTTTATCATTCTTACTGTTTCTTTATTGAATAATCGATTTCTTGTTATTACTATTGGAATTACTTTAATTTTATTTATTAAATTGTATTATTTTTTCTTGGAAAATTCTATACATTTCAAGTTAGTTAGTAAATATCAGAATTATCTTCTTATCATATATATTGACATATCAATTATTATTTATATTTGTTTTATTTTATCTTCTATATAAATTTCTGGTATTTTATGAAATATCCCTTCGCTTTTATTACTATTTGTTGGTTCAGTATAATGAACACTTCATTATTTTATATTCTTCTTTGGAATTTACCCATTTCGTATTTATTGAATACTAATTTTATTTTATATTCTCTCTTGTTTTATTCTGCATTTCATCTCCATTTATTATATTTATTTTATATTTTAATTTAACAACTCTCCAGATATAATCTCTTCCAAATTCATTTCTTATTCATTTTCATTATTTCTCTTATTTCATTATTTCCATTCATAATATATTATTATTCTTATTATTTCTAATTTATATTTCTCTCTTATTATCTTATTATTTCATCATTATGATATTATATATTTTATTTATTCTTCTTCTAATTTCTTATCATTATTTTATTTTTATTTATTCTTATTCTATCTTTTTTATTAGTCTGTTCTTTTCTTATTCTTATTAATTAAATATTCTATTTGTTTAATTTCATATTTTATTAATAATATAATCATCATTGTATTATTTATTTCTCTTTATTATTTTAATTCTAATGTAATCTTGTTAATTAATAATTATTTTAATTTATTTGATCTTTTTCTTAGATTATTAATTTCATCATTTTGATATCTTATAAAATTATTTTATTAATATTTAGAAATATAATATGTTATTTTATATATTTCTTTTTTTGTTATCTTCTATATTTTCACTTTCACACTTCTATTCTTCATTTATATATTTAATTATTTCATCATATGTTTTTATTGAAATAATAATTAATATTGTTATTTTATTTATTTATTTTTCTTTATTTTATTGTATTATTTCTTTTTATTATTATCTATTTCATCTTTCATGTTGATTGTCATTATTTATTTTAATTTAATGAATTGATTTGAAATATAATTATTCATTATATTTATTGTTATTGATATTACCTTTTTCTTGTTTCTTTCATATATTCATCTTGCTCTTTTATTCATTTTATATATTATTCTTCTTTATTTATTTTTATTATTCTTTCTTTTATTATCTCTTTAATTTGTGTATTATCTAATTTTCTTTTTAATATTTATTATATTTAATCAATAACATTATTAATTTTTTATCTTATTTTCTTCTAGTTCTGATTGTTCATTTGTTCTTCACTATTTCTTCTATATTAATATTCTCTCCATTTATCTTCTCCAGTTCTTCTAATGTCATTCTTAATAATTCTTCTTTCATGATTCGAATCACTCATTCTTGTATTTGTTTTAGTTTCTTCCTGCTTTCTTCTTTAATGTAATCTACTTCTTCTCTTCTATAATTATTCAACTCAATCCACTTCTCTTCTTTGGTGCTTTTGTTTTTGTCAGTGATATTGTTTTCTTCTTCTTATAGTTTGATAATTGAATTTTCTTTTACTGTTGCAATCTTATCACTCTCTTCTTTCTGTTTCTCTATTTCTTTTATTTTATTTTCTAATTCCTTGTTTTTTCTTCTTTCTATTTTTATTTATTTGTTTTTCTCTTTAATTTCTTTTTGTTCTTTCTTCTTTGTTATTTCTTCTTATTGTTTTATTTGATCTTATCTTTTGTTTTATTGTTTTCTTCTTCTTGTTTATTTCTCTTATTTCTTTCTCTTTCTTTAATCTATTAGTTTCTTCTTCCCTTTCATTTGTTTCTCTAAATTCCATTTCAATGTTCTTATTTGTTCTTATTTCTGATAAACTTCTCTCTGTGTTTACTTTTCATTCTTTCTATTTCATTTTCTCTCTTCTTTTCTTCCTCTTCTCTTTTTTCTTCTCTTTTCCTTATTTCTTTTTTGTTTCGTATTTCTCCATTTCTTCTTTTCTTCAATTTCTATAGGTATTTCTACTTATTCTTCTTCTTTATTACTTAGTTTCTCTTTCACTGTCCTATCTCTTCAAATCTCTTCATCTATTCTTGTATTATTTTCTTATGTCACTCCTTCATTGTCTTTTCTTGTAATATATTTGTTTCTATATCTTTTATATTGTTTATTCTCATGATAATATTAATTAAACATTTTATCTGTATTATGGTATTTGTGTTATAATAATTTCTTTTCTTTTTATTATAGTTGTGATTATTTGAGAATGTATAAAGTATTTATAAATATGACAATTATTATTAGAGTGATTATGGCTATTTTTTTGTTGATAATGATTATATTTATAGCATTGATAATATCTTCTAAATCTATTTGTTAGTATATAATTATTTCTATATGATTTTAATGGTATTCTTTGTGTAGAAATAGACCAAATTAAAAAGACTTCTAAAAAAATAACTAATTAAATGAAAAAACACAAAATCTCAAAATTTTAACATAGAAAAACAAATGTCCAAATATAATAGATATACCACTTTATCTGATCTTGGTTCTTATATTGAAAAAGAAGTTATTGTCCAATTCAATGATGGAAAAGAAAGTTTGAAGTTTTATTTGAATCAATTTACATTTTAACTCAAATTGACTTTGTGTAAACAATTAAAAATATGTATTTCCTAAATACTTATACGTTATAGTTGAAGGAGTATTACAAAACTACGACGACCGCTTTAATTTATTTTTAACTAATGCCACCCAACATATTAATGAAAATGAACCAAGTGTATCAATAAAAACAACAAGAAAATTAGGTGATGTCTTTTGCAAAGGAAGTTCTGTATTAGAGTTAACATTAAAAGAGGGTGTTGTTAAAATTGAATAATTTAAGTCTGAAAACACAAAGTATTCTTCATTTACACAACGTAATAAAAAAATTTTTGAAACATAAATAATAAAAATTATAATTAAGTAAATTAAAATTTACTATTCTCAATTCAAACCCAGAGAACTCATAAATTTTTGGGTTTTTAAGGGATTGTTGGAGATGAGTGCCAAAGTCGCCACAGCCGTTCAAAGAGAAGCTTGCACAAAAACTGTTTGTCCATGTAAGGCTAGATGTCAAGCATTCAGAGCTGAAGTTATTAAAAGAACAATTAAAAATCATAAAGACATTGAAGCCACTAAGAAAGCTATTTATCTTGCTAAGAAGAAAGCTGAAATTAACGGTGATTTATATGCTGAAGCTGATCCAAAATTAATCGTTGCTATTAGAATTAGAGGTATTAATGGAGTTTCACCAAAGATTAAAAAAATTCTTAAACTCCTTAGATTAAGACAAATTAATAATGCCGTCTTTATAAAAGCCAATGCTTCAACCATTAAAATGTTGAGACTTGTTGATCCATATGTTACTTATGGTTATCCAACTTTAGAAACTGTCCAAAAACTTATTTACAAACGTGGAGCTCTTAAAATTCATGGAAATAGAATGCCAATCACTTCCAACTGTATGATTAAGAAAGCTCTTGGAGACAAAGATATCGTTTGTGCTGATGATCTCATTCATGAAATTTACACTGTTGGAAAACATTTTAAAGAAGTCAACAATAAACTCGCTCCATTCAAATTAAATGGTGCTAAAATTGCTGAAAAGAACAAGAAGATTCATTTCATTCTTGGAGGAGGATTTGGAAATCGTGAATTACTTATTAACAAGCTCATTGCTAAAATGAACTAAATTGAAATGGTTGTGTTGGACGATTAATACTATTTTCATTCTATTTTTTTACTATTAATTTATTATTATCGTATTCAGGGTTGGTGATAAAATATAGTAAATTTAACCATAATAAAAAACTATTTTAAAGAATAAATTATTCATTGTAATTTACGTATTTAGCTTGCTCAAGAAGATCAATTAATGTTACTTCTATTTCAGTCGTGGAATTTCCCCTTAAAACATCCCCAATAAATTTACATTCAACTTTGTATTTTAACATTTCTAATGAACCACGAATAATGCCACAATAAATATTACTATACCATAATTTGTTCTTTAATTTTTCTGGAAGCTCAACACATTCACTTAACGGATTATTTGGAATACTAATCTTCCATTGTTTCTCATTTACTTCATAACACTCTGAATTAATACCTAAAAACATTTTAAATGCAACATAAGTAATTGACTCTATATGTTCTTTAAATGAAAGGCATTTAGTTGACATTTTACCTTCTACCTTAGCAAGGTATTCTTCAACAATTCTTGTTCCAATGTTATATCCCATTTCTTCTAATTCGTTATTCACTTTTTCTCCATCAAACTCATTTTCTTTTAATAATTGAAGAACAATACCACCATACGTCATTGTAAGAAGTTCAGAATTAATTTTTTTCATATCATTCCACACTAACTCACCAGTCTTTTGTTTTTCGCTTTTTGAAATCATGTATTTGTTCTTTAAACTCAAAATTCTTTTTTTTTATTTTTTATTTTTCATTTTTTTTGGTTATTTTAAAGATTATATCATTAATTGAAGAAATATTAAATAATAAACAAATAATATATATTTTGGTTATGTAATTATTATATAAATAATTTTAAAATATTAAATAAGCTATAATGATTTTATTTTATTAACAAATGAACTTAATTACAAATACACATTAATCCGAATTAATGAATTTAATCTTTTGACTAAAGAAATTAAATAAAAAAATTAAAAGAATATATGTAATGAAGTTGAAAATGAATTGTAATATAAATAAAATAAAGAGTATTAATAATAAAAAGAAATATACAGAGAAATAAATAATAGAAAAAAAATAGAAGAGAAAACAGATGAAATCTATAATACAAAAATCAAAATCAAAGAATGATAAAAAAATAGACAATGAATATTTATCTCAATACATTAAATAAAATTAAAAACTATAATGTTTCAATTATATTAGCAATCAAACAAATAATAGAATAAAGTATCAGTAAAAGAAAATTTAATGATAAAATAATATCAAAAATAAATAAAATCAAATATTTATTAAATATCAATAAATGTACAAAAATTAAACAAAAATACATATGATAATATAAAAAAATAGAAAACACAAGAAATAAATAATAAGAATATTTAATTAATATTAAAAAGTAGAAATAAAAGATAAAAAAGAAAATAGGAAATAGAAATTAGTACTAATAAAACAGAGGAAAAACAGAACGATATACAAAAAAATAACAGAATGTCATAATAAGTAGTGAAAAATTATCAAATTTTTTTTGCAAATATATAAAAGATTAAATATAACGACAATAATGATGATAGTTTAAATGTATTGAAACCAATAAGTATTAAATAGAATAGACTATTCAAATATTAATAATATATGAAAAGATAAAATATTGAAAAAATTGTATAAATAATAGAGTATCTATCTCAAATATATGACTGGTATCCAGTGATGAAAAATAAATAAATTAAAATAATTACAAGATAAAAATTAAGATTAAGGTAATAAAAAAATATACATTTTCAATATCTTCTTCATTGCATAATATCAATAGATTGTTTAATCACATTATTTATAACAAGTACTTATTAGCATGAGATGATATTAAATTCATAATATGAAATAATATGTAATATATTTAAGAAAAAAGGCACAGATTAATGATATAACTAGTATACAAAATAAATTATAATAATAAATTATTTAAATAAATAAAAAAATATTCAAAGAAAAATAAGAATATAAAGATAAATTGAAATAATCATTATAATAAGCATTGACTGATTTATTCATAAATTATCAATAAAAAATAAAAGGTGTAAAAATTGATAATAAACATAATAACAAGAGTATATAACAAACAATGAAAAATAATAAATAATAGTTATATAATGATGATGAAAATAAAACGGTAAAATTACTGGAAAATATAACAAGAAAAGAAGAGGTAATACAGAAAATAATGAAGAAATAACCAATAATTTTAATATTATGACTTTTTACACCAACAAAAACTTAAGTATATAATTAAATATCATTAATTATTTATTTTTATAAGAAATAAAAGTTGAAAAATTATCGATTGAATTACATTGAGAATGAGGTAACTTGAGAATGAAACATCAGTTATAAAGTCTCTAATTCTGAAAGAGTCAAATCAATAATTTTTTGTTGCATTGAAACAGGTTTAAGTTCAGACAAAGAGCCATCAATCAAAGCTATATTATCATCTAATATACCAACTATTCTTTGAATAATTAAAGATAATTGTTGGTGTACAGTTTTATAAGTTTCAGTATCTTGATAGCTAGTTAATAGGAATTGAGAGTATACTGTTTTCATCTCTGGAATAATCTGAATTGTTAGCAAATGTTGAAGGACAAAATAAGGGGTAATCAAAAAATAATTAAACAGAAATAAACCATTTGGATTTGACTAATTGTATCATTTGATAATTCTACTTGTTTAAATTCTTCGATAAGTGATGGAGATAATGATTCAATTATTGTCATAAGATTTGTACCATTCCAACTTACAAGATCATCACTAATTTTTCTAAAGATAATGTTAGTGGTGTGAAAGATTAAATTTGTTAAATAAATAACAAACTTTGCAAAATCAGATAATAAAGAAATTAATTCTTTGATAGGCTGAGTTGACATGAACAATAAACTAAAATTAAAGTTAGGAAAAATAAAAACAAAAAACAAAAAAGGGTTAAAATAAAATATTATTATATGTCAACTCGTCGTGGAAACACCAAAAAACTTGGTCAAAAACATCAAAATGTAACTGCATTTAAAGATTATAAAGGGTGTACAGTTTATAAAAAAATTAAAGCATTACCTAATGAAGGGTTATGTCAAAAATGTCATGACACAATTGAATGGAAAAAGAAGTTTCACAAGTATAAACCATTAAAGGTACCTGGTGTTTGTTTAATTTGTAAACAAAAAAATATACGTTATGCCTACCATACTGTCTGTCAAGAATGTGCTATTAAAGAAGGAATATGTGCAAAGTGCAGAGAAAAGAAACAAATAGTTAAGTTTGTTTTTTATTTTAAAATAAATTATCAGATATTCATTTTATCTTTAGTGGTTTTAAAGTTGATAAACAAGAAAGTCAAGAAGATCAAGAGTTACAAGTACAAATTGAAAGGTTAAGTCTTAGGCAAAAACAATCATTTTTCAGACAACTTGAAAAGAATCCTGATTGTGATCAACAGGAATTACTAAAACAATTCCAAGTAAGAGATAAAGATGAAGACTGGGAAAGTTTTGATGATGACAGTGATTATGAAGAAGTTCAAAGTGATAATGAAAATAAAAATGAAACAGATAATGAGCATAATGATACTGAAGAAGAAAGTGAGAGTGAGGAAGATGATTGATTTCTAATTGAGTTGTTTTATTTTTATAAATAATAGTCTTATTATTTAATAGTTACCACATTTTATAATGTCTTATCTTTTATTTAGATAACTAATATATATTCTTATAGATAGGTAATAAGAATTCAAAGTAATTAAAATTGTGTAAGAAAGGTTTGTTACTCAAAAACACAGACTTTATTATTTTTATAACGATGCAATCTGATCAATAAAATCTTTGTTCTAAAATATTTAAATAAATACATTCATTGAGTTTTTTAGAAGTTCTTTTGTTTCTTTTATTTACTATTTATATAATCATAATACAGATAGTTTGGTAGAGGATTTAGTTAATATGTTATTGATCTTGTGTACTTTCTAAATATGTTATTATAATTTATGTTATTTTATTGTTCATTCCTATTCTAAATTTTTTCTTCTTTCAGTTATTGTTATGGTTCATATCAATTTATATTGAATGACGTTGAAATTATAATTAAAAGATATAAAAACTCTTTTATCAAATAAAAGAATTAAGTTAAGAAAAAGTAGGTAATATAAATTAGTTAAGATTTATAACCATTATAACTAACAAACTATAACATTAGTTTTAAAAATAACAGCTTTAATAGTTTTTATTTTATTAAAGATTCAAAGGAACAGTTTTAACTTTTTTATATTATTGAAAAAATAAATGTACAAAGGAATAGAGTTTAAATAAATATTGTACTATGAAACTATTTTATATGATAATAACTATTTGATTGAAAAATATTAATATTATCTCATAAAAAATAAATTCGAGATTTAGAAATACAATAAATCATTAAAGAAAATATTAAGTAATATATAACATAATGATAATTATTTTTACTAAAACAAAAACTTAGAATTAAAATGTTATGAATGAAAGAAAAACACAAGACATTGAAGAAATTGAAATAATTGATGATAATGAGATAGAGATACATGATGATATGAGTGACCAAGAATGGATATCTGCTGTTCTCAATCATCCTGTCTTTGGTAATTCTAAAACCCCAGAAGTAGTTTGTGTTGGTTCTATAGATCCAGAGAGACGAAAGTTAGAAGGAATTAAACTTTTTGGTGACACAAAAATACCTGAGACAAGTAAACAAGAAGAAATAAAATTAGGAGAAAATTCAACATGTCTTTTGGTCGATGTTCCTTTAACATCAGATATCAGAAAAAGCAAAACATTTTATGGGGTGGATGAAATGAAACAAGTTACTGGAATACAAGATGATGAACAAGAAGCAATTCAATCACTTGATAAAAAGGAAAATGTTAGTATTGATGGACAAAAAAATGTTAACACAACTGAAGAAAAAAGTGTGCATGTAGAAGAAGAGGAACTTCCATTTAGTCAAAGAATTACTCTTTGTGATGACGGAATAAAAACATATTATAATAAAAACAATAATCAATTTGAAGAAGTTCATGACTTTATTGAAATAGAAGCACGTTCTCAACGTTATTGTAAAGAAGAATTATCTGCTACAGAAAAAGAAAGCACGCAAGGATTGACTTCTCTAGCATTTGACAATAAATCATCTATTCTGCTTCATTCAATCTTCAATCATCCAAAAAATAATTTTTTATCTCAAAGCATTTGTATTAATAAGATTGATAAAGACGATGAACAGCAGCCAATCATATCCCAAAGAATTATAAATCATTTGGAAAAGAAAGATGTCCAACAACAATGTATTATTTCATTAGAAAATGAAAGTAAACCAAACGAGTCTGATCTTCTCAAAAGAAAATTAGAAATACTTGAATGGTTTAATAAAGAATTGGCATTACTAATCAATGAAAAGGAAAGAAGACTTAGACAGTTGGAAATAGAATCATTTCTCAGTCCAATCCCATCACAACCAATTTCAAAAACAACTTCATTTAATGTAAACGAACAGAAAAATAAAACAAAAAACGATATCATTCATATCACACAACTTACTACACCAATAAAAGATGTTAATGAAAAACCAATTAATAATGATTATGGAAAACAAAAAGAAGAAACAAAACCAAAGAAAAAGAATGGAAAGAAATGGAAACACTTCAAAGAAGAACAAGAAATCACAGAATGGTTTAAGAGTCAACCTATTTATGAAGACATTTTAATGTATAATGCTATCGATATTGATGACTGTATTTATTTATTTAAAACAGCAGGGTATTTGGTTACAAAAAAATTTCTTAAAGGATACTTTGAAAAGAATGGAGTAAATTATTATGACGCTGCAAGAGAAAATGCGAACAAAAGAGGAGCTGGAAATTTCTAATATTTTAATTAGAACATTACAGATTATGTCTATTACTAGATTCTATAAGTTAGAATAAAACAACTATAGACCCAACAATTATTAAACAGTATAAATAATCTTAGTTAACCTTTCTGATGAAATAAAAAATAGAATCAATAAATACTGAAAATATAAAATCTTATGAAATAATATTAATAATAAATAAATTAAAATATTCAATAATTACTATGAATATACAATTTCTAGATTAAACAAATACTAAACTAAATGAATAGTTAAGTAAAATGAAACGAATTAGAAAAGGTAAAACAAAAGCACTTCTAATGACAAGTACTAAATCTGGTTTGTGCTAATCTTTTTATTTATTGTTATAACACACAATTATTTCACGAAGAATAAATAAGTTCATTAACCATACAAACCTCTAAAAACAAAATTCAAATTGTATTAATTTGTTAACACAAAACGAATGTACACATGATATTAGAAAAGTTATAGAATAAATTAAAATACCCTTACAAAATAAAGGGATATAATTAAGATAAACTAGAAATATTCTTACTCAACTAACAATGTGTTATTAAATAATAAATTATCTGAACATTAAGAAACAAAAATAAAAATTATAAACAGCTCTTTTTATCTAGACAAGTATGACTTAAATAAACCAAAAAGTTTACTTTTTCAAAAAGTAAGTTTTAACTAATTAAAACCAATTGTTTACACTTTATCATAAAACAAAGAAACATACAACCAAATTATCAATACATCTAAATCATAACACTCTAATACTATATCTAATTAATCTCCAAACAATAAGGCTTCTTGTTATCCTCAAAAAATCTTTTAAACTAAACTTATTTACAACAAACTCTTTAATAAAAGTGTATTGTATTAATGTCATAATTTATTACAATGTATTATACAAAATAGGTGTATTAAAAATAGATAAAGTATTCATCTATGTCATAATATAAGTAAGTTTAAAAAATAAATCAGAAATATCTTTGCTATTGCATCTAAAAACTAAAATATCAAAAAAAACACAAAATAATTAAAAAATATATTAATACCTTACTGCTTTAATTTGATGATATTTATACTTAAGGAAGATACATACTTATGTTATAGTCAAAAAATAATTAAGTCAAAAAATAAATCAAAAATATTACAAAAAAAGATTATTAAACAAACCAAAAAAAACTTAAGATAAAAAAAGCCCAAAATGAAAGAAATGAAAATTCAATCAAGAGAAATGTAAAACAATGAACTTTCGTAACTCAAAATATTTGGTAATACCATCACCAATAAATGTTCCTGGCTTAGGTTGTACAATTTCTAAAATTTTTGCATCAAAATGACTTTTTTTCAATCCTTTATTGGCTTGGAAAGAAATATACTTAGTGAAATAAAAGAAAACATCTTCATTTGGTTCACCAATTTTTAAAAGATCAACATCTTTAGGAACTCCTTTATTATATCCATGAACCCAAAAGAAATCATTTCCATGCAATGCACATAAAAAGCTACACTCTCCACCATTCCATCTATGTGGATGGATTTCTGTGTCAATATAACATCCAAAAACTCTATCATCCACAGGTGAAACTATAATCATAACACTAGAAAAACCAGATATAATATCAGTAAAAGCAGCACGATCCCATCCATCTACGTCTGAATCAAATATACATTTGACTGTAGATTTTTTTACTCTTTTAAAAATTTTTGACATGGCATTATTTACTAATGGGTCTGTTATTGGTCTCTCACTGTCAACTGTTTTTGCTATTTTCATATGGCGAGGTGGATATTCTCCAATCTCTTCATATCGCTTAATTGGTTTTGATTCATAGACATTGTCTTGTGCTGGGTATGTTCCTTGTTGATAGATGTCTTGAGGGTATACTGAAGGGTATGAAGGAGGGTTTTGTTGTTCATATGGATTAGGTTGATAACCTCTAGCAATAGGAGTACTAAGTCGTTCTCTGATCCTTCGTTCCATGTCATCAAGAACTTTTAGCTGTTCTGTGTCATTTACTTTCATTTCATTGAAACTACCAAAACGGTCTAATAACTTAGAAATGGCAGCGACACTCTCTTGTTTTTTTCTTCTTAAAAATGAAATATCATTTAAGTGGTGATTCATTTGGTCAGGTGTTTCTGAGTCGATTGAATCAGTAAAGACATTAGTACAAAAAGAAACGTATTCATTATTTACTACAGGAACGAGAGAGTTATACTGTTCTCTGATTTGTTCTAAACGTAACCTAGTTGAGTCATCTGTTGACATTGCAATTAATACATCTATGTCCATTATAATAAAAATGATAATGCTAGAACTTAGATCCCTATAAATTCATTTATAATTTCTTATTAATTCAATTTTAAAGTTAAACCTATCCCTTATTAACCTAATATATCAATACACCTTATAATTCATATTATCTTCATATGACTTAAAAATAGAGTATACTATTAACGCTTCTTTTCTAATAAGAACAAAATTAAAATAAATACATGAAAGACATTAATTTGTATTGATACAAATTTAAGAATTATTCATTAAAAAAAAAATAGAAAAATAAAATAAAAATAAAAAAAGGGTTTTGAAAAAGAGAAAAAAGATGAATAAAGACAGATGGTTGAAGTAAGTGGAACATTCAAAGTAATTGCAAAAGATATTGGTGGAAAGTTATTTGAAGGAGTTTCACGATTTAAATTAGAAGGAGAAGATTTGACTGTATTTGTTGATATAAACACTGATTTATTTCCATTAGAGGAGTTTGTTATTTCAAGAGGACGATTTTTTAAAGTTAAATAAGAAATAAAAATCATAAATAGAAATGATCGTATTAAACTTGATTTAACAAAAACACTAAATCGTGATGGAAGTCCAATGGATATTCATCAAGGTTATTCTGATAATTTTGGTAAAAATACTAAAATGGATGATTTTGATTATGTAATGAGTGGGATGGTATTTAAATTTGTTGAAAATAAAAATGATGACAACTTATCTGTAATTGCTTCTTTTGGTGGTTTATTATTAATGCTTTATGGTAAACCAGAAAAACTTTCTGCATATAATATGAAAGATCAAGTTTACCTGTTAATTCGTAAAACAAATTAATTGAATTCGATTTGATTGAATTCTTTTATTTCCTTTTTGTTAGTTAAATAATTTTGTTTTAAATATTAAAAAAATAACAAATATTTTTATTTATCCTAACGAAGTACCGTGCAAATCAATTATTTGTTAAGAACGATTCCTTCATAAGTTTCTTTGAACCAATTAATGGCATCTTCTTTAGTCAAGAGATGGTCTCTACCAATTTTGTCTTGCATTCTCTTTCTTCTAGAAACTCTGAATCCTGGTCTGGCAAGAACAACAAAGAAATCCATACCATAAATTCCAACTTGTGGATCATATTTCAATCCAAGATCAATATGTTCTTCAATACCAAATCCAAAATTACCAGTGGCTGAGAAATTGTTAGCTTTAAGTTCAAATTCCTTGACTTTTAATCCTTTTTCAAGGATTTCTGCAGCCTTAGCTCCTCTAACTGTAACATGGCATGCAATTTGGTCATTTCTTCTAATAGAGAAAGCACGAACAGTGTATCTGGCTTCTGAAAGAACTGGTGTTTGTCCAGTTAAAGTTTCAAGGACCTTAGCAGCACGAGTTAATCTATCTCCAGATTCACCAACTGAAATATTAAGAACAAGTTTATCAATCTTAATCTTTCTCATAACATCAGACTTCTTGGCTGCCATTTCTATTGCCACAAGGGTTATTTTATTTTTCCAGTTTCTTTTTTAAGGGTTCCAACTTTCTTTTCATTACTTTTATTATATTTTTTAGCTATTTTACTATAAATTTTAGTTTATTTTTTTACTTAATAAATAACACAAAAAAAAAAATTTAATTAAAAATGTTATAAAAACAAAAATGATGAAGAAATTCAAAAGTAATTTATCTTCCTCCTCTCTTGAACTGTCTCTTAATATACCAAACTTGGAAACATCCCATTGCTATAATTACGAAACAACCAATAAAGAAAAGGATAGTAGTTCTTAAGTTGGTAGCGTCACCAGCTAAAAGAAAGTTAATTGATATGATTCAATCATTGAAAAGTGATAAAAAAACAAACTTTGTCTATTACGATTTTCTCTAGTTCTTAATCTTCGTTGATCATTTTTAGCATCGTTTAAGTATGTTGAAACTTGTAAAAGTTTAGTTTTAATTGATTTTACTTCTTGTTCTGTTGCTGGTTGAATTTGTTCAAGTTGTAATTTAAATTCAACTAATTTAGAAGTATAAAGACTCATTGTATTATCAAAACAGAAAGAGTAAACGCCAGGTGTTTTAGTATTGATATAAATATAATTGTTGTATTTGCCTTCCTCATAAACAATTGAATATATATTAGAACCAGATGGATCTGTAACTTTAAATGCAACATCTTTATTACCTCCTGAAATAACTCCAATTTCAACAATAACTTTTTCAATATCTTTAATCTCAGAATATACACACTCCTGTGCTCTATTTGGTACGATAAATCGGTAAGCGTTTGTACTTGTAAATGTTATAAAAAGAAGAAGTCCAATCATCCCTTTATTTTTTATAGTTCTTTTTTATCATTTTTTTAAGTTTTTTTAATTTCTATTTTTAGTTCTTTGATCATTTCAACATTCTTTTATAAATTTGATTTGTTGAAAAAAAAAAGTGAAAATTGTTCAATGTTTTAAATCACGAAAATAAAGAAATAATAATAAAAAAGAAAACTAAGAATCATAATTCACTTGTCATGAGTTTATTAGAAAAGACACGACAATTACACGAAGAGATTGAACTTTTTGAAGATGAGATAATTAGAAGAATTAAGAACCAACCAGTTCTTCAAGAAGATAAAATCAAGAATGAACATATAATTATGAAACTCAACCACGAAATTAATAGAAGAACAAGTGAATTAATTAGTTTATATGAAGACAAAGAAGGTAAAAAAGAAGAAGAGCTACAAATGATAAGTGGGAATGGAAATACTAGTGATCTTTTAAACTTATTTTACCAAGGAATTGAACATATCAAAAATGAATTTAAAGGAAAACCAGTTTCATTTATTGAAAGTGTTGGACCGAGTGATGATATTTATGAAATTACAATACCATTTTCAGGTGAAGAAATGAATGGAAAATGTATTGATTTGATTGTAATATTTAGTGAAATGATAAATTTAGTTGAAGATATTAACCAAGAAGATTGGAAATATGTTGACTATATTAGAGAGTTTTGGGAATGGGACTCACCCCAAAATAGGAAAAGAAGATATCGTTGTTCATGTAATAAATGGATGAAATATGTAAATAATATTTTAAAATATTTGATTAGTTTTATTGAAAGAAGTCAACCATTACTTGATATAAATACGAATATTAGTGTTATTAAAAAACAATTTAATGATGAGCAAATTAATAACATGAATTACAAAGAAGAGATACTAAAAACGAATTGTTTTTGTGTGTATTGTGATAAAAAATTTTCAAAAGAAACAGTCTTAGAGTCTCATTTCAAAAGTAAAAAACATTTTCGAATGGTAAAAAAAAGTGAAGAAAGAAGTATTAATGAAGCAATGTTATTAATAAAAGAATTAATGGAAAATGAAGAAATGAAAAAAGTTGTTCAATCAACAATAGAAAATCTAAATTTAAAAATGGGAAGAACAGTGAAAGAATTAGATGAAATAGCTAAAGGAAATATTATGGATGAAATTGAAATAAATGAAGAAGACTTAGAAAAGAATGAAGAAATAAGAAAAGGAATTGATAATTATCCAATTGGAGATGATGGAAGACCAATTCCATTTTGGTTATATAAACTTCATGGACTTGGAACAGAATTTAAGTGTGAAATTTGTGGAAACAAAAGTTATTTTGGAAGAAAAGAATATGAAAAACATTTTCAAGAAGCCCAACATGTAAGAGGACTTAAATGTCTTGGTATAACTAATTCTGTAGAATTTTTTGATATTTGTAGAATTAAAGACGCACTAGCACTTGCACATAAATTAGATGTAATGAAAAAAGAAGCAGAATTTGATGTCGCAAATGATGAAGAATTTGAAGACGTTGAAGGAAATATTATTTTAAAGAAAGATTATTTATTACTACAAAAACAAGGATTGATTTAATTGAATAATAAACTTAAAAACAGAAAACTTTTTTAAAGATATCAAAAATTATAAAAGAAGAAAATTATATTATATTAATTTTATTAAATTTTTAAATCATATTGATTAAAGAATTTATAATATATAAGTTTTTATAATAAAAAGAATTTAAAATTTAAATAAAAGTTAAATAACATTAAAAATGAAAGAACTCAAGATAAGTCTCTCTTCTATACTATTTTTATATTTTAAAAAGAGTTATTGTCTGTTTGGCTCTTTTAATTTAAATTACTATACATAAAAGAAATAATAAAAAACTAATAAATATAGTTTAACATTGGAGTTGATGATTAAGAAATAAATTCCTCTTTATTATACCTCTTTATAATGAGAACTTTGACTAAATAATATTAAAACATGATGGCCTATCCTCGTCATCCTTTTGTTGATTATCCATTAATAAATAAACCTAATGAATTAGTTCAAAACAATAACCAACTATTATTAACAAGAGAATTTTTAGAAAATATAGAAATTCATCCTATTTCTCCTACCAAAAGAGATAAAGAAGTTACTGATAATAAAAAACCAAAAATCCTTGATGATGAATTTAAGAAATCTGAGCAAAGATATCCTAAAATTCGAGTGTCATTAGAAGTATTTAATCAATTAAAACAAATTCAAAAACAAAAAAATTATAAATCATTTTGTGAAGTTGTTTCTAAACTTCTTGAATTATATGAAGAACATGACACTTCATCGTTAAGTAAAAGTACTGATTAATACTAATTTTTCTTCAACATTATATAATAATATCATTTACAATTAATTTCATTTCATTTTTATAAAGTAATTTTTTTTATGAATTTTTATGTTTTATTTAACATTATATTTTTATAAAAACAAACACTTGTAAAATCAAAAAATAACAACATTAACCACCACACTTAATTTGAAAATGCTCATCTGTATGATTTTTGGTATTTAGCACGAGCTCCTGGTCCACCAAACTTCTTGGCTTCACATCTTCTTGGATCAGCAACAAGAAGAGTTCTATCATATTCAAGGAATTTAGCCTTAAGTTCATTCTTTGTAGTTTCATCAACAAACTTTTGGTTATAAGCAATAAGAGCTTTGGCAATAGCTTGTCTAATAGCATAAGCTTGGGCAACTTGTCCTCCACCAGTAACTCTGATTTTAAGGTCTAATTTAGCATAATTCTCTTTTCCAACAATGAATAATGGTTCAAAGACTTTAATTCTTAATACTGGTGGGTTAATGAGATCAAGTGGAACACCATTAACTCTAATCATACCTTTTCCTTCTTTACAAAGGCATACTGCAATAGCTGTCTTTTTCTTTCCGAAAACTTGAACACTCTTAAGAGCTTCAGTATGTTTCTTTTGGGTCTTTCCTGTGGCTTTTACTGCTGAAGACATTGCTCTTTTTTAGGGTTAGTTCTTTCTTTTTTAGGGTTCTTTTTTGTTTTATATAGTTTAAATATAGTAACATTAAATATTTATTTTTATTTTTAATGTTATATAAAACATTTTATATAATTATTGAGAACTAAAAAAATAACAAGTAAGAAGTTAATGGAAATGAATCAACGAAGAAGAAATAGATTGTATAGAACACCATACCCATTCCCTGCCACCACAACATACGGAGAAATTTTAACAACAAGGACTGAGGTGCATAAATATAATAAACATTTACCTACATCTCCTGATCTAAGTTTTCTTAAAAATTATTCTAAAGAATTACCTAAGATTAATACAACTCCCCAAGAAGATATTTTAAAAGATGCACAAAGAACAATTGTCAGAAATGCACATAACAAACAAGAAATGACAAATAAATTAATTCATATTTTACAATCTATAGAAGTTAGTTATGGGAATTATCTTCCTCAATTACTTCATCTTGCTGCATCATTACTTTTTGTAAGTAATGATGAGTCAATGACATATGGTGTATTAGTAGAATTGATAAAAATATTAGATGATTATTTTACTGACAACATGATTGGTATTCAAGCTGATGTAGAAGTAATTAAAAAATTAATTATTTTTCAACACTCATCAATTTCAATTATTAATATCATTTCTTCTGTACTTTGGAGATGGTTATTAGGTTGTATGGCATCAGATTTTCCATTGTACACAACTATTGAAACTATTCATTTAATTTTACTTAAAGGAAAGTATGGGATAGTATCATTATGTTATGGATTATTGGAAAGGACAGTTGAATTCGATGATCCTGAAGCAATTAAATATTACCCATTCACAATCTATCGTTTTGGAAAAGTTACTGAGATTATGTCAACTTATCAAATCCCAAATTATATATCCTTTCATAAACAAGAGCTTGAAAAAATCAAAATAAACCAGTCTTTTTCTCTTCATTTTAAAATTCAATCTTCAGTCGAGTTGTTGGTCAAAGGTGTTAAAAATATTTTATCTATTTCTCAACACGAAAGTGAAAGTATTGTTAAAAAATGTAATAATTTTGGAGCAAAACCATGTGAGTCACTTGAAAAAAGGTTTTGTGATTGCCAAAAATTGTACAAACTTTTTGGTGGGACTCGAAATGAAATGAAACACCTTCAATTATTTGGAATAATTGTTTGGACAGTAAACGGAACTTTAGAGCTAAGATGCAAAATTATTTTTGAAAACTTAAACCGATTACAAAAAGATTCATTAATGTTTGCTGACCTTGAAACTGGAATAAAAAGGTTTAATGATTATTTAATTAGTAAAAAAATGGATAGTAGTTGTATTGATGTTCATAGCCTTAGACTAAAATACCCAGTTCAAAATATAACAATAAAAATGTTAAATCTAATGTGTAAGAATGAATTATCAATTTTGGTTGAAGGGGCAAGTTTAGATATTGAAGGGCCAATGTTAAAAGATAAAATAATAGAAATGTATAATTTAATATAATAATTGACTTTGCTCAAGAGAAAAAGAATCATTTTAGTATATCTTACTATTCCTAAAAAAGTTCAAAGATGGAGAAACCAAAATAGAATCGTTTTGAAAAAGAAAAGTCAAATCTAAGAAGTGACAATAGATGATTAAGATCTCAACTCAAAAAAGTTATCAAATTCAGTCATTAGATAAATGTCATTTGAAGAAGTAAATTCTAATGAATATAAAAATCAAATATATTCTACATTTATTAATCAAACACAACAAATATATAATCTAGAGATGATGAATGAAATGCTCAAACAACAACTTATGAGTTTTTCATGTAATCCATTAAACACAACCCAAATTACTAGTTTTGATTCATTGTTGGTTGATAGTAATCCAAGTGAACAATCAAATGAAAAACCTGTTCAGAGTATGTTACAGTCACGACGTTATTGGTCAACTGAAGAACATACTAAATTTATTAAAGCAATTACTTGGCTTGGATGTACTTCTACTAGGCGTCTTCCAGTAAAATTAATTTCTAAGTTTGTTGGGACAAGGACTCCAGTCCAAGTAAGAACCCATGCTCAAAAATTTTTTGATGCCACAGAAAAAGCATCTGTTTGTTTTTTTTGTCTATTAAAAATGTAATATCAGAAAAAAATAACAATATAGTTAGGACATAAAACTAATATGACAGTTTCAAACTGTGAATTGACTATTGAAGATGTTAATGAATTAACAAAACTTAAAGAAGAATATACAAAGAATCGTTTTGACATAACTATGTTTTAAGATGATTCTTAGTTTTATTCATGTATTAATAATATATTTCAAAATGAAATAATATCTAAATGTTTAATTAATTGGTTTGTCTAATTCAAAAAATATAATACGAGTAAATGTTCCAATAAGTGATGAACACATTTTATCTAATAGATCCTTTGGATCTAATCCATAAAAATACTTTGAAATATTTTGTTGGATTTGGAGTTGGCCAAGTCCATTTTCTCCTTTACGTACAAATAGTATATCGATGATCTGAAAGAATAAATTTTCATCGTTTTCTTCTTCGGAGGCAAAATAAATAACTTTTTTTCCATCATAGTTACGAGAAAATATTTCATGAATAGAAAATTGAAGATCAATTGGTTTATTTAAATTGATAGTAAAAATTTTCATTTTCTCATCATCAAGCCATTTTCCTTCTATTGTTAATGAATGAAAGACGAATCCAAATGCTTTTTTTGACCCATTAAAAATAATTCCCATAACACCTTTCTTTCCCATGACATGTTTATTAAAGGATTTTCTTCCCCAACCATCATACAAAGTATCGAAAATTACTGTCATTTCTTTAAATCCTATTTTTTGTAATATTTTACTACTCATTTTCTCTATTAAAACCATCTCATTTTGTTTAATTTCTTTTTTATGCTGTTTTTGTTTTAATTCATCAATTCTTTTATCTAATGAAAGGAAAGGTTTTTTTTCATTTTCTTCTATTCTTGATGTATTTTTGTATGAGTGCATTTGTTTTTCATAAATTTCATTTGTAACATTAGTAAATTTATCTTCCCATTCCAGTGAAGAGTCATTATTTACTCTTAGTGAAATACCATTATCAGAATCTTCCATATCAATGGTTACTTGATGTTTAGGTTGGATATTAGAATAATGATCATCAACATCATCCCATTCATCTATTTGTTCATAACAAACATTATCCTTTTTATATTTATCAACAATATTATCTTTTTTATTTGATTGAATTTTTAATTCATTTCCATCTATTTGTTCAAGGTCAACTGATTGAAGTGTTTTAGTAAAGTTTTCAGGTTTTTGGTTTAAAGTTATTAAATCTGTATGGTATTTTTTTACATTCTCTTCTATTTTTTGAATAATAGAACGTTCATTTAAATTAAGTACTTTAATTTTTTCTATTGACTCTTGTTGAATATTAATAATTTCTTTATAATTTTGAATAATTTTTTGAGATAAATTAGCTAATTCAACACACCTCCTTTTTTCTTCGTAAATTTTTTGAAGTCTTTTTTCTAAGTCATTATCGTTTAATGATTTAATATCATTATAATAAATATCAAAATTCTTTTTTCTTTCTTCTTTAACAATTTCTTCATATTTATTAAATTCATTTTTAATTTGTTCAATGTGATATTTAGTACTTTCTTTTACTGCTAATATTTTTAATAAATCAATTTCCATTCTTTTTAATTATGTTTTTAAGTTTCTTTTTTTATGGTTTTATTTATTATATTTTTACTATATTTTAAACTATTTTAAAAAAAAACAAAATGAATTATTTCTTTCATTAAAACTGTTAAATAATTAATTCCTTTTTACTAAATACCCATTTGATTTGGATTTGTAATTGGCATTTTCTTTTTTTTCTGATCTATTTCACTTTTTTTAAATGAGTCCTCATCATCAAATACAATTGTTTTACTTTTTTTCTTTTCTTTTTTATTCAATTTATTAATTTTGTTAAATATTGGTTTTTTTTCTTTAACTATTGTGTCGTTGATATTTTGTTCATCTACTCCATACAATTTATTTTGTTTTACTATTGAATCAAGCACTTCTTTTAATTCATCTCTTTCATCCTCATGGTTTAAAGTTTCATTACTATCGTCTTCTGGTTCAATTAATTTAATAAAAAGTCCTTCGTCTTTTTCTTCTAATTCAACAATTTCTTTTGTTTCTAAATATCTAACAAATCCTGACAAAGAAGTCCATTGTGTAGAGTTCATATGAATATGATTTTTGTCTTGAATATATTCATTATAAATAGTATTTGCATTAACTTGTTTTCTTTTATATTGGGTTTGTAATATTCTAATAAACCCATTTTGAAATTGATTAGAGAAATCTCTTTGGTACTTCATTGGGTCAGAGGCATATAATTCCATCATTCTTCTATGACCTTCAGTTTCACAATGACATTTAAATCCATTTGCATCACGACATTGTTTTTGACACATTTGGCAATAGTATTTAACTTTTTGTAGTCCTTTTGCTTTTATTTGGTTATCTATTTTTCTTGATTGAGCATTGTAGGTATTCATATGAAAACTGAATTATTCAGTGAGACAAAAACTAAATAAAGTGTATTTATAGTTTAATATTAATAACAAATAGCTTTATTCAATTATTTCTTAATTGATTCAAAAAATGGATGGTTTATTGCTTCATCTGCTGAAAGCCTTTTTTGATGATCAAAAACCAATACTTTTTCTAATAAGTCTAATGCCTCTACAGTACAAAAATTTTTATTATTTTCATTAATAAACTTTGAAAATGAAGATTTAGAATAATTTTGAAGTGTAAATAGAAGAGAAGAATCTACTTTACAATTATATTTATTGATATAATTATTTAAGTCGTTAGTTCCATACAATTGGACTATTTGAAGTAATTGATCATCAAGATCTCTACCTTCAAAAATTGGTTCTTTTTTAAATATCAATGAACCTAATATACATCCAAATCCCCACATATCTAATGAATAATCATATTGTTGCATGTTTAATAATAATTCTGGTGATTTATAATATCTTGATGCAACTCGTACATTATACTCTTTTCCTGGATGATAAAATTCAGCCAACCCCCAATCAATAATTCTTAATTTTTTTGTATTTAAATCATAACAAATATTATCTGGTTTAATATCTCTATGCATAACCCCTTTTGAATGTGCATATTGTAACGCTTTAAGTAATTCATATAAATAATATTGAGTATCTTTAAGTGTAAAATTTTTATAAAATAATTTAAATTCTGTATTTTGAATGTATTCCATTACTAATGATGGGGTTCCTGTTACCTCTTCTTTTACACAGTCATATAATCGAATTATATTTGGCCCATTAATTAATCGTTCTAACACTAATATTTCTCTTTTAAATCTGTCTTCTTTGATTGATCTAAGACATTTAATAGCACACGGATATAACCCTTCTGTCATAACTCCTTTAAATACACTACTATATCTTCCTCTTCCAATCCTTGACACTATTTGATACGGTTGTGGAGATCCCCAATCAATACTTACTTTCTCGTAATTCCATTCTTCTTCTGGAACACTTTTTAACACATCTGCATATACTTTACTTATACTAATATTATGTTTTGATGGACATTGTGACATTAGAAATTTGTTTACCAATTGAAGTTCAGGAGAAAAATAATTAAATTTGAAAGAATTTACTGATATCAATAATAAAACTATTAATAAACTATTCATTTTATATTTTTATTGTTAATTTGTCTTTTTTAGTTATAAGAAAAACTAATATTATAAAATTCAAAAATTAATTGAAAAAATTGATGTTTTATTATTTATTCATTTAACTCTAAATAATACTTACAATGACATTTCAAAAATCCATCCATTTTATTGATTGTTTCTAATAAACTTAAAAATTATACCCTTTACCAATGGCACTATTTTATGTTAACTTCTTCTTATAGAGAAAAATAATTCTTTGTGATTAAACAATACTGAGATATTATTGGGTATTTGTCCTTACAGATAAAATACTATATTATTTCATATTTTAATCATTGCCCTATTCTAAAAAATTCAAAATAAAAAGTTATAGATATTCAAAAAAAACTATCTATAATATTTTCTTCAAAAAGATAATTTATAATGGTAGATATTTTCATAATAACTTACCTGAATAAAAATTAAAATTCATTATTAATTGGAGAAAAATATTAAATATATTTTGAACCATCAATCTCAAAATTATTACAAAAGCTAAAAAATAATTAAAATATTAAATGTTTATCAAAATCAACAAACTTCATCAATCATACTTATACTGCAATGTTATTAAGATGTTATTTCTATAAATTTATAAACCTTATTTATATTTTCAAAGTTAGAGAAAAAAACAACAATATCAAATGAATATAATGTTATTAAAAACTAACTTTGTAATAAAAGTATTTTATAATGAAAGAGTTTAATTAAAAAACATAAAATAATCTTTTAAAGTTTTCAAAAAGAAGAATAAAAACAATTATTTAAATCAATAAATTTATAGAATTACCATTTTAAAATAACCATAAAAAACTAAAAATACTTTTAGGAATAAAATTTCCAACTAAAATTATTTTTCAATAATAAAAGAGAATTAAAATAAAGATAAAAAAAGGAAAATAACAATTCAACAAAATTAATAAGTAAATTTTAATGAGAAAGTATTACAAAAAAAAAGAAGATTTAATGTAAATTAAGATTAACACTTTATTAAAGAATTCATTTACAATTAATTTTCTTATAATATTTTTTCAAATTTAAATCAATTCTAGTTTAAACGAATTGAAAAAATAAATATCGAAAAAAGTAATGGTTTTATTTTTAACAACATCCTCCTTCTGAATTACCTTGTTTTGAGAAACAGATGC